CCATGCGCCCGTGCCGCTGCGCCAGAGGCGCAGCGTCACAGCGCTAGGCTCGTTTGTTAAAACAAACGAACCATGCGCCCGTGCCGTTGTTAGTTATTAAACTAACAACGTCACAGCGCTAGGCTCGCCCGCCCGGGAGTCGATACTAAATATCTACCTCATCACCTTAATCCTAAATTCTATGGAAGAGTAAGTCTACAAATTATGTATATACAACTTTTTCTGGATGTTTATATGAATATTCTTCAGAAATTCATGTTCTACTTACCAATCCAGATATTAACGGTAGACGTACAGGTGTTGTTTTTAAAAATGGTAGAGAATTATTTAAATTCCAAGATTTTCCTCTTTCTAATAATAGCTTCAAACGAGCTATTAACAATGTTACAGCCTTTTTCAAAGATGGATTGATGTTACATGTTGCCCCCCCCCCCTTTAGGGGGGGGGGGGCTAACCGGCGGACTTGGTCGCCCTCCGGTCGTTTTTCCCCCCTCCGCTCCTGGGTAAGCTTACCCAGGAGCCGATGGGGAGAAAAACCCCCGGGGTGATGGCCAAATAAATGTGCGAAGCATTCGTGCGGCAAAACAATCTACAGGGTTTGATAGCCCGATTTTAACTTTTGATATTGAGGCCTATCTAGATGAAAATAATAACTTTGTAGCGTGATGCTGCGGGTTGATTTGATGGTAAAATTTATAAATCATATTATGTAACTGATTACTCTTCGAATGAAAATATTTTATTATTAGCATTTCATGATATCCTTTCAATTGCAGATTATGATGGGTATACAATGTTTGTACAGAACTTATCAGGTTTTGATTCTTTATTTTTATTAAAGGTATTAGCTGAAAAATTAAATATTAAGCCAATGGCCCCCTCCCCTAAGGGGGGGGGGACCGGCGGACTTGGTCGCCCTCCGGTCGTTTTTCCCCCCTCCGCTCCTGGGTAAGCTTACCCAGGAGCCGATGGGGAGAAAAACCCCGGGGGTTCAAAGATAATGAGTTATATTCGTTAACTGTATCAAATGGTTCCGTTACTATTAAGATTCATGATTCATTGAAAATTCTCCCTTCTTCACAGCGTAAGTTAGCCAAAGATTTTGGTTGTGATACTCTGAAGGGTATTTTCCCTTATAAATTTGTTACTGCCTCTCCGCTTTAGGGGGGGAGCAAGTCGGCAGAGCCGAGTGCGCGGAGCGGCTGTTTTTTTTTTTTGTTAAAAAAAAAAAACTGGCTCAATCTTTATTTCTACGCATAGATCCATATTTGTCCTATGCCAACTCTATTACCTGAAGAATCTTTAAAACCTTCTACGGTTGGAATGACTCCTCAAGAGTTAGATGAATATTTAACGAAAGAAATTAGTGAGCCGGCGAAAGCTTCGACTGAGTCGAAGCTTTCACCGCCCCCTCCCCTAAGGGGGGGGGGGACCGGAGGGCGACCAAGTCCGCCGGTCGTTTTTCCCCCCTCCGCTCCTGGGTAAGCTTACCCAGGAGCCGATGGGGAGAAAAACCCCGGGGGCGATTAAAGATCATCAGAAAGTTCTTATTACTAAAGGTGTTAAGAAGCCTTTATCTGTATTTGATAGGATCGTATGTACCGTATTCTATGGGGAGCACCCCCTTCCCCTGGAGGGGACGGCCCGCGGTAGCCCCCCCCCCTAAAGGGGGGGGGGCAAGAGGCCGACAGGCCTAGAAAATATGGGCGAAGGATTGGATCAAATCCTTATATGAATGGTCATTTTGGTAACCTTCATTACTTTAGTAATGGTATTCAAATTCGATTTTATATTCATTAAAATCGAGTACGTATGATGAAGGTACTTTTGGACAGGTTCTGACTAGGACAAATTAGAGGTTAAAACGATTTTTACCTCAAATTTAAGTAAGTCGGAGTGTCCAGAGTAAGGAGGAACTTTCCGACGGTTAAGCCGGAATATATTCCGATTTCTTCCGAGTTGAGTTTTAATTCAAATGTTAATAGAAAAAGAGGATGATGAGGCCCTGGATCATTTGCAGGTCTCCAGGTCCGTAGTCTACTTCTTATCATCTTGATGAGCATTCAGTAATATTTCACTGAGCACAAGTATCTTATTTAGAATGGTTTATCCCCCATTCACAAAAGTCGCTCATCAAGGTAACTACTGGAAGACTCTCCGGGAGGACAATCATCCTCCTTCCCGCTAGGAACCACCTTCTTCCCAAATTTTCACTGACCCCCCTCCCCTTTAGGGGGGGAGCGGAACAGCTGTAAGCAGGCCCTAGTTCCCCCCTTCGGGGAGGGGGGCCTAGCCCCGCAGAGCGGCGCTCGTCCCTTCCCCCCTACGGGGAGGGGTGAGTCGGCGAAAGCTTCGACTAAGTCGAAGCTTGAACCGCCCCACAGGGACTAGGGTCATTTTACTTTTTTTTCAGGGGTGAGCGGACTTGAACCACTATTGAAGAGTTTGGAGTTCTTAGTTCTACCATTGAACTACACCCCTACTGACCACAGACTCACACTCGTTAAGTGCAATCCCTATCGGGATGGCCCAGTATGATTAACTGAAACCGCTCTTCTTTTAAATTCTAAATAGTATTTTTATAAATACATAGTTACACTGTTTACTTTGAGACTTAACCCACAGACCAGAGAGCGATCGGAGAATCATACTACTTTTACTCAGTGTCAACGGTACTAGATATAATGGATCATTCTCCCAGCTGATCAACCTTGACGCGGTGCGGGTAAAAGCTTCCTCATATTTATAAGGTTACCTGGTCCCCTCGGGACACCGGTCCGAGGACCAGCCCCTCCCCCTTGCGGGGAGGGGCCATCTGCCAATTTAAAACTCCTAAATATATAAGTAAGGAATTCAGAATTTCTGAATATTTAATAAACATAAAGATTCTAACTACTAAACCAGAGTGGGCACTCACTCTGTATAAACTATTTATCGACTTCTCATTGATTTCAATAAATTAAACAAAATAGACGGGTGGAGTCCTGTTGTACTCCTTCTTATTGAATCTAACCCCCTGCGAGCTAGGGTAAAAGCTCTTTTTTCAGCGATGAAGCAATTATCTGTAAGATAATGGAATTGCAGAGTTCCTATTTTCTCATAATCTTCGATTACAACACAAGTAGTAATCAATCCCCGTAGTAAGACAATGTTCATTACACAATTAACAATAATACAATCATGAAACACAATATTACTATGGAATCATTGAGAAGATTGTCCCCCATTATTTCTTTCAAATAATGCGGGATTAGCAGCTTAGATGGGGCGCTCGACATCATAGGCTATGGTGTAGAGGGAGCTAACCCCTTAGTAAGTTTTACTTGAAACCCGAAGAAGGAGGAGACTATAACTTAATATTATATTAAAATAATACGCTGGGATAGCCCCCAATATTTAGGCTTTTATTATTCTTATCAGAATTTTCACCTGGGACATAGTTTTCTTTATAAGTAACAAGAATTTTATTTTTCTTGTAAAATGTTGTTAAGTAGTAATGGTTTTAATGTTGATTTTAATCATGATTTTAGTGATCGCCTTATCATCCCTTCGGATTACCGCTATTTATTTTAATGTGTTTTTGATTCCACGCTCCGCGTGCCATTTTTGGGCCGGCATTCGTCACGGCCCAAAAATGGGATTCGGTGAAAGCCTCAACTAAGTTGAGGCTTTCGCCGATTTCTAATTTTACCGTATTTTGTGAGGAAATCTCAGAGCTACCTGTAGTTGCGTCTTTCGAGAATCTGAATATTACAGATAATTTTGCCTCTGCTGTTAAGTCATTAAGAGGGTTAGCAGGAATTTATGCTATTAAATGTTCAATTACTGGTGCAATTTATTTGGGGTCTGCCGTGGACCTTGGAAAACGAATGAGAGAACATTTTCTAAATTCTTCTAACATTCACTTACGAAACGCTATTTCACATTACGGTATCGCCTCATTTGTCTTCATCGTGATCGAGTTCATTGAAGTAATTTCCGGAACACCCGCTTCTAAGATTAGAGCTTTATTACTTTCTAGAGAGCAGGTATATTTGGATTGGCTATTTTCTACATATCCCAAATCTCTAATTTATAATTTCTTAGCAACTGCTGGTTCAGCTTTAGGCTTAAAGCTTACTCAGGAACAGCGTTTAAAGCTAAGCGCGGCTATGAAAGGTAAAAATACAGGGGAGAATAATTCTAATTATGGCAAAATTGCTCATACCGCTGTTGGGGTATCGGTTTATACTCTTGATAACAAATTTGTTCAATCTTTCTCTAGATGGGGCACTTCTTTACACTTTTTCTTCAAAGAGAGAAGCTGCTAACTTTTAGGATTTGAATTTCAATATATATAAGTAACAGGAGTTTAGATTCTTTTGTTAAAAGTTGTTAAGTAGTAATGGTTTTAATTTTAATTCTAATCATGATTTTAGTGATCGCCTTATCATCCCTTCGGATTAACGCTATTTATTTAAAGTGGATTGTTAGGATTCTTTTACTCTACGCTGGGGTATCGGTATTATTAGTTTTACTGGTAGGTTCGGGCGTAGGGGGAGGTTCTAATTTATTCCCAGCAACTGCATACCCAGGCCTAATGACCTTTAGTGTGTCGTTTACGGATAATTGATGGTTATGTAAAGGACTGCCAGTATTTAGTAATCTCTTTAATGAGGTATACACTATTGCTGTGTATGTTTTAGTTCCGTTCCCAACTAGCTTTGTATTTTGTGAAGAGTTTCTTATTGCAGCTTTACCTTGTGTAATAGTGTTTGGAGATTTGCATCTTACAGAGAAAATTAAAGAAGTTAGAAATATTCTTAAGGGTAATTCTGGTATTTATTGTTTTACCTGCACAATTACTGGTACCCAATACCTCGGCTCAGCTGTAGATTTATACGATCGTTTTTATGACCACATTATGGGGCATTCAAGCAATGCTCACCTTCAACATGCTATCGCTAAATATGGTCTTAATTGTTTTGTCTTCAGTGTAGTAGAGTTTTGTGCTCCTTCAGATTTATTGGTAAGAGAGCAAGTATATCTCGACTGATTATTTACTCTAGATGCATCCCTGAGATACAATTTTTCTCCTACAGCGGGATCAACTTTTGGCTATTCGCATAGTCCGGAGACGAGAGAAAAAATGAGTGCTGCTTTGAAAGGTGAAAATAATCCAGCTTATGGAAGAAAAGGTGAACTCCATCCAATGTATGGGAAGGGGGCGGCCAACAGAGTAGGAGTTTTTGTGTATAATCTGGACAATGTTCTGGTGAATACTTTTCCGTCCAATACGGAAGCAGCTAAATTTTTAGGAGTTTCAGTTTCATGAATCTCTAAAGCAATCAAACGTGGTTATGTAGTAAAAGGGCGTTATCATGTTGTTTCAAATTCTAAGGCTTAATGTATATTTCTGTGTAATCCGAGAGATACAGCTGCAGCAAAATTCCTTTGTGTTTCTCAACCTACTCTATCAGTAGCCATTAAACGAGGCTATGTAATTAAAGGCTCTTACAAGGTAGTCAAAACTTAATTTAAGTTAAGTCACCTAAAAGCCGGTGGTGAGAACTTGAGTACTCTGGTTTAATTTTGACGTTTCTCGTCAAATACTGCTTCATTGCCTTTATCCTTTTATTTTATTTCCCTATATTTGTTAGCTCGTCAGAGCCAACCCTCCCCCCCCCCCCCCGCAAGATTAAAGATTTTATATTAATTTAGTGGACACATAAATCTTTATAAGTAATAGAACAAAAAAATTTTCTTGTTCTATTTGTTTGTTAAACATCCATCTTATCTTCGTTATATAAGTAAAGAAATAGTAAAACTGATTTTTGGTATATCGATAGTTAATCTATTGAATTGGGGTTCAAATCCTCTGTCAGTTTATGTTAATGTTTTTATTCATTATCATGATTTTAGTGATCACCTTATCATCCCTTCGGATTACCGCTATTTATTTTAATGTGATTGCCTATCGTAATTTACTCTACACTGGGGTATTATTAAGCATTTTAGTCTTATTAGTAGGTTCGGGGGTAGAGGGCTATGTAGGTTTATTCCCAGTAACTATCATTACTCAGAGTATGAATGTATTTATCTATTTAGTTGGAGCCTTAGTGCTTCTATTAGGTTCAACTTCGACTCTAATCGGCAATGGTAAAGGATTGCCAGCATTAGTTTCATACCTTTTTATTGTATTATTTACAGTATTAGGCATGTGTAGTTTAATTTTAATTAGTGATCTAGTTTCTATGTTCCTATCTATTGAACTACAAAGCTTTGCTGTGTATATTTATGATTTTATTATTTCGAATTTTACCGTGTTTTGTGAGGAAATCTCAGAGCTACCAGTAGCCGCAGAATTCAAGGATCTGCACATTACAGAAAATCTTACGGCAGCTTTTAAACTGTTAAAAGGCTTGGCTGGGATCTACTGTATTAAATGCGTTGGTGCCCCGGGCAGCGAGCGTCTAGCGACGTGTGCCCGGGGTTTTTTTTTGCTGGATTTTTTGGCCAGCGACTAACGCCGTGGCCAAAAAAACGGCAAACTACGTCTGCCAGCAAAAAAAAAAAAAACTGGTACAATGTACATCGGTAGTACTACTAACCTTGGAAGACGGTTAAGAGATCATTTTTTCGAGTCAACTAACATTCACCTCCGAAACGCAATGGTACTATACGGTATCGCTGCTTTTATTTTCATTGTAGTTGAGTTCGTTGAGATTCTTCCTGATATGACTTCCGCGGCGCTCAAAGCGATTTTACTAGCACGAGAACAGGTCTATTTAGATTGATTATTTACACTTCCCTCAGAGTTTCGTTTTAATTTTTTAGTTCTAGCGGGATCTTCCCTTGGTTATCGCTTCACTGTAGAGACTAAAGCGGCACTAAGTGCCGCTAAGTCGGGCTCAAATAACCCTAATTATGGAAAGACGCCATCTGAGGAGACTAAAGCTTTACAGCGTGCTGCCAAGACAGGGTCTCGACTCACTGAGGAGACTAGAACTTTAATGAGTGCTGCGAAAGCGGGAAATACTAACGCTACTAAACCCGTTTTAGTGTGCACACTAAGCGGAGAATTAGTTCAACAATTCTCTTCGTACTCTGCTGCAGCTAAGTTTATGGGGGTACACGCTTCATCAGTAACTAGAGCTATTCAACAAGGCTGCGTCATTAAGGGAATCTACCGTGTTTCTTCGTCTTCATAAACTTCGAATGAGTGCTTTGTTTTTACTGATTTAATCTTGCCGTTTGGAGTCAAATACTGCTTCATTGCCTTTATTCTTTTATTTTATTTCACTATATTTGTTAGCTCGTTAGAGCTAACTATTTCCTCCCCCCCCCTCCACCCCGCAAGATTTTTAACACTACTCTCACGTTCACAATATTATTTAAACTCCTATTTTCTTTACCCAGAAAGTTACGTAACAACTTCATAGAAGTTACCAAACTTGTGTATTTTTCAAGGGACTATAGCTAAACGGTTAGAGCGCCATCTTGATAAGATGGATGTCCAAGTTCAAGCCTTGGTAGTCCTATGTAGAGTGTATTCTTGATAAGGATATGATCCAAGTTCGAGCCTTGGTAGTCTTATAATTTATTGTAAATATTCATCTTCGTCCCTTTCGAGAGTAGAGTATCCGTCGTTGAGCCTTCTTTGGCTCTGAGCTGCATATCTCCTTGAATATTTTGCCTTCAAATGTACCTCCCATCAGCATAGTTAGCGAATCGCTCTTGGTTGCGCCTTCTCATGTAAGGGGGGCCACTCTTTCTTGGGTGCACGGGGACCCCCCGGCCATAGGTCACGGGGGGTCCCCAACATTTTTTGCGGCATGCGACTAGCCCCCGAGGGGCTTGTCCCGTCGGGGGTGAGTCCCCCCCTTGGGACTAGCGCTGTGCGCAATCAGGGTATACCCTGATGGAGGCAGGGCGCATGTCGTGTGCCATGGCACACGACTAGCGCTGTGGCGCTGCGCCTCTGGCGCAGCGACACGGGCGCATGTCGCATGGCTGGCTCCGCCAGGCAAGCGACTAGCCCCCGAGGGGCTTGTCCCGTCGGGGGTGAGTCCCCCTTGGGACTAGCGCTGTGGCGCTACGCCTCTGGCGCAGCGACACGGGCGCATGGTTGTTTGTTTGTTTAAACAAACAACCTAGCGCCGTCTTGCAAAAAATCCAGCACACCCGATTCTACGACCTGATGTTGCCAAGTTTCGAAGGATTTTTCCATATTCCAAGGAACCTGTCAGGTCCATCTGTCGATCATCCCTGGTCCACTTGGATTCGGAATCCGTGGGATCCGCCCATCTTCATCTCTGCTGTGTTCCCATTCCGGGTCGAGGCCACTAGGGATCTCGTTTCCGGAATGTATCTCACTCCCACTAGTATCAGTGGAGCAATAGCCCCTTCTGATCTCTGCGCACTTCTCGGGTTTCAACTCTACTCCCGAGTGTTCCGTTCTTAGTTTGCTCGCTAGCTTCTCTAGTAAGTTTCCTTCTGAGCTCCCCATGATTCCGTCGTCTCTTTTTTTTTCAAGGGCGGACATGTGCCCGCCAGAAAAAAAAAGAACGAAGCCGATGTATGTTACTCCGGGGATTTGGTAGACTCCTAGGTATTCTAGCACTGCCATACCCAGTGCGGCTGTGCTCACGCCCTGAGGTACTCCTCTTCCTGCTCGGGATCTTCTTCCATTCCTGTCTTCAATTCACGGGTCGTTTAGCCGCATTAGCCATTAAATCGTTTTGGGAGGTGTCCCAAAGCTTTTTAGGGCTTCGGAATGACCTTGAATGTGATCGATGGATGGAAGGCTTTAAAATCGAATTCTACGATGTTCGGCAGTGCGATCATTTCTTTCAGAATTGTTCTCAGCAAGTTATCACTCCAAACCCCGCTCTGTGACCGTGCTGGTAATTCGACAGCCGATCGTTAATAAAAAAATGAAGCATTAGGTTTACTATTCATAGAGATAAGCGTCATTTTAAGGCCGGGACTGAGATGGTTCTCATCTTCCCGTCTCCTTTTGGAATTTCCACTTGTTTCACTGTATAGCTCGTCTTTTGTTTCGTCGCGATAAGTTTTAGTTCTTTCAGAAGTTTTCTTACTTGAACTTCCGTCATCTCCTTGTATCAGCGGGGTTTTACGTAGCGGATTGTTTTTTGCGGCAAGCGACTAGCCCCCGAGGGGCTTGTCCCGTCGGGGGTGAGTCCCCCCCTTGGGACTAGCGCTGTGCGCAATCAGGGTATACCCTGATGGAGGCAGGGCGCATGTCGCATGGCTGGCTCCGCCAGGCAAGCGACTAGCCCCCGAGGGGCTTGTCCCGTCGGGGGTGAGTCCCCCTTGGGACTAGCGCTGTGGCGCTACGCCTCTGGCGCAGCGACACGGGCGCATGGTTGTTTGTTTGTTTAAACAAACAACCTAGCCCCCGAGGGGCTTGTCCCGTCGGGGGTGAGTCCCCCTTGGGACTAGCGCTGTGGCGCTGCGCCTCTGGCGCAGCGACACGGGCGCATGTCGTGTGCTATGGCACACGACTAGCGCTGTGGCGCTGCGCCTCTGGCGCAGCGACACGGGCGCATGTCGCATGCCTGGCTCCGCCAGGCAAGCGACTAGCGCCGTCTTGCAAAAAAAAATTCCGTGCCAACATTCTTAGAGCGCTACTCTTACGAAGCAAGAATCTCGCCACCTTTCAGAATCTTTGAGGGTCTTTCACCGTTCTGCTTAGTCTACGGAATTGTTTCGGTATGTATTTTCCCCTATTAGTCGCATATGACTGGCCCTAAGGAAACGCGCCGTTATCGTATACAGCATTTATATTTTTCTGTACGGGGGGGGGAGGGTAGGTAAAACACATTTTAAGTCGCATATTGACGAACATTTTTCAACGGGCACTTGGCCCCGGCCCCCCAAAGGGGGGAGGGTGGCCAGCGTTTTTTTTTTGCAATAGGCGCTAGTCCCAAGGGGGACGAACCCCCGACGGGACAAGCCCCTCGGGGGCTAGGTTGTTTGTTTAAACAAACAAACAACCATGCGCCCGTGTCGCTGCGCCAGAGGCGTAGCGCCACAGCGCTAGTCCCAAGGGGGACGAACCCCCGACGGGACAAGCCCCTCGGGGGCTAGTCGCTTGCCGCAAAAAAAAAAAGAGCGCCGTGGCACCCCCCCCGGGGTCCTATACAAATTCCCGAGTTTTTGTATTAACTCCCTGGGGGCAAGCGTCTAGCCCCCGAGGGGCTTGTCCCGTCGGGGGTGAGTCCCCCTTGGGACTAGCGTCTTGTATTTATACAAGATGCTGAACGCAATTATTGCTTAAGCAATAAAAGCGTCTAGCCCCGCAGAGCGGCGCTCGTCCCTGAGACCCTACGGGGAGGGGTGAGTCGGCGAAAGCTTCGACTAAGTCGAAGCTTTCACCGCCCCTTGGGACTAGCGCCTTGGTTTTCTAATTTTTTATTATAAAAAATTGTAATAGCGCCGTCCCTCCAGGGAGCCATATACGAAAGGCCAAATGACCTAGATTATACGTTAATTCGTATCAATTTACTAAACAGACGCCCCGAGTTGGAACGAAATGGTCATGTCCAAGGGGGTATCTGGGGGAGGAAGGTTGGGGGGTATATATATATACCATTTAGTCGCATATTCGATGGGACTTAATTAGCGGCTGGAAACCCATACAAAATTGACAAAATCTCTATGTTATTTTACGGAAAATTGACGACCGTCACTTATGCCTAATTTCCCCGCCCCTCAGCTCTTGGCGTAAGCTTACCCAAGAGCGGAGGGGATGCGAGGAAGGTTTGTGCCCAGGAACGTCTCGCCGGTAACTGAAAAGTTCTTACCGTACAAGTTACAAGGGTTTAAATCTCAAAGAAAGCACTTTCAGAGAAATGAACAGGACTTAGGCCACACATCCAGGAAAGCGGAGTAAAACACCAACGACAAGAATATATAAGAAAGGTATTACAGTTCCAATAAGAATGAACTTGCGGAGATCCATCAGGTTTTAACCCTAACATGGTGAGCTAGCGAAGTCTAATGGTTCCGCGTGTGGTGGACTTGGAATATGATCGTTCAAGAATAAACCTCGGAACAACCATTAAAATATCTTTAAACCAAAACGATAGTTCCACAGGGTTAAGTCCTTAAACCATCCTTTAATCGATTCACACACCACCAAATTGGCTCGCGAAAGGCTCAAGCTACAACCGGGGCTGCAGAACGAGCGGATTGCCTTCCCAGGGCAGCGCAACGGAAGGAGACTCATTATTATTAAAATAGGTCATTTAATAAATATGTAAGGGTAAGAATCATCCATATCTAAAGCGGGTAAGTCCTGTTACGAGAGTAGGATATATGACCGAAGCGGTTATGGTAGAAGTTTCCTAAACTTCGGAACTCGCGTTCCTGTTGGTTCGAATCCAACTATATCCCTAATTAATATAGAATCATTTATAATGGGTGGAGAGATACTTGTTCATCTCTTGGAGCTTAAGCTTGAGACACTCTTTGTCACCTACTCGCGAATGTTATAGTAGTGACAACCCACTTCTCAGTAAACTCAGTACATTTCAATCATCGAGAATTAACCAAATATCTATTTGAAATATACCTAATAACCCTGATGTATCACTACTCGGTTAAGCCCGTAGCGCTCAAACAGATAATTGTTGTGGGTATACCATTAGCAATAATCCCTTGGGAAGAGCATTTCTTCACCCAATTTAAACGTGTTTAGGCTCCAACCAGGTTTAACCCTAACCTGTAGGGTGTGTAAAACGGGCGTTGTTTCTCGAATAATTATCCTCATTACCAACAATCGATTTGTTATACATTTACAATTTGAAGGGTTTAACGAGGTCTCAAACGACCGTGGTTTAACTGAAACCCTAGTTTCACATATTAGGCCGTAGAAATTCGATCATTTTCAACGGGCAGTTGGCCCCGGCCCCCCAAAGGGGGGAGGGTGGCCAGCGTTTTTTTTTTGCAAGACGGCGCTAGTCGTGTGCCATAGCACACGACATGCGCCCGTGTCGCTGCGCCAGAGGCGCAGCGCCACAGCGCTAGTCCCAAGGGGGACTCACCCCCGACGGGACAAGCCCCTCGGGGGCTAGGTTGTTTGTTTAAACAAACAAACAACCATGCGCCCGTGTCGCTGCGCCAGAGGCGTAGCGCCACAGCGCTAGTCGTGTGCCATGGCACACGACATGCGCCCTGCCTCCATCAGGGTATACCC